TTTCTGGCCTCCGGATAGAGCTATCCCGTCAGATCCAATGTTAGTTTCGTCACCCTGAGGAAGCGTGGCAAAATCGTGTTTCAGAGCTGTCGCGTCGATGACTTCTTCGTACCTCGCTTCATTGAAAGGAGAAAAGCCGACGATATTCTCCTTTATGGTCCCATTTGAGAGGAACGCAGTTTGATCGCAAAACCCAACATGAGAAGCCATAGTGCTCATGACCACATTGCCCTTGCTGAAAGGGATTTCTCCAAGCAGTGCTTTGCAAAGCGTAGATTTACCAGAGCCAACAGGTCCCACGACGATAGTGAGCGAGGCTCTAGGCAATCGGGTACTCACATCTCGCAAGACAAACTTGTCTGCCTCCCAACCAAACCAACCGTTTTTGATTTCCACGTGGTGGAGATCATCTAGACCCCCATCGAAGTTGCTTTTTTCGTTTCCTCTCACTTCGTCCGTCTCACTCGTTATTTTAGCGAAGACTTGGCGAAAATCATGATGAGTCTCACACTCCAAAAAGGCCTGTATGCGGCCTAAACAGGCTATTGCTGAGACAAGACCAGGAATAGATTGAAAAACTTGCGAAAATGGGCCAGTCAAGAGAGTGATAAAGGACAGGCTCGTAAACACCCTTGTAGCATCCAGAGTTCGTGTCGTGAAGGCAAAGGTCAGTGGCGGACTCATCAATTGTGGAATATAGGCAAGGAGGGCCGCAGTGATGGCTAGTTGGCGGAAGCGGGCACCCGCCGCTAATTCTTCGACGCGAAGCCTCTGCACGAAGTCACCAATGGCCGCAGATAGACCAGATATTTTCAAGTTCTTCATGCTGGCAATGACTGTAGCAGTGAGACCCACACGTTTTTGAACTCCTGCCATCCAGGCTCTCTGCGAGTCTCCAGTGAAGTTGGTGAGAATAGCCAAACCGGAAAAGCAAACAACAACAACACCCATAGGTGCGACAAACACGACACCAAGTCTTGTATACAACATCCAGGAAGCCAGACCAGCTTGGATGATGCTTGCCCAAATCTCGTGCAACGATCCTAAGCCCATCTTTATCCGCTCCATATCTGTACTCATGAGTGTTAGAACAGCATTGTCATCACCAGCTCCAATACGCGCTGTTGTTGCTTTTTTGTAGATCTCTGTGACAAGCATGGACGTCGCCATAGTACGCATCCGGTGATGGAAATACCTACACCGATGTATAAGTAGTCCATTCTAGTGTCAGCATGCTTTCCGGGTTATCATACCATGTGAATGCCCACGAGATAGCCAGCCCCGAATAAATCAACAGGCTAGCAGCGATGAATCCATATCCAGTGTTCGCATCGAGTCGGGGTTGGGACAAATAGTTCGACAGTCTTTCAAGAAAAAGTGGTTGACAAAGGGTGAAAGCGAGATAAGCCAGGCGTGGAATTACGGGCAAAAGAAGGGGGGCTTTCAATGTCCGCACCAGCACCTTCACAAGGCCAAACTTATCGCCCTTGAGCGTTGAATAGTCCAAGTTTTTGGAAAACTCCTCATTGAGCGAGGTAGCATCAAAGGAGCTATCCAGGGGATAGAGATCCTCGGTCGCCAGGACTTTCCTATACCCCCTCAAGAACATCCTATTCAGCCAGAAAAAGACGCCAAGCGAGAAGATACCGCTTGTTTCTTCTGGACTGTGCTTCTTTTCGTCCCAATCTATCCATCTGGACTTTTCTTGAGCTTCCAGTAGTAGAATGCATACCTTGAGGGCTAGGGCAGCACTGAATATACTACTATAGCTGGTCTCGATTCTGTTGTCTGATGACAGGAACAAAGTCCTTGCTTGAGCCGCGTCCAGGAGAAAAGTAAGAAACAAGTAGCTGTTCAGTAGTGTCGAAGGCCTCGGACTTCTGCTATGATCCAAAACACTAAGCATTATCATGAACAGGGCCGATACAAGGTTGAGGATTGAAGAAGCGATGAACATTGTGGTCACCTGGAATGACCCAACCGCGACCAGGACGAGCAGGGACAGTTCAAGACCCACATAGGTCGTGATGGCACCCTGCGATAGTCAATCTCATGATTATCTTTGTTTCTACCTGTAGGGTATCGGGGAGGACCTACCAATTTTATTAGCTGGAATAAGGGAGCATTCACAACTACAGGCTTTCGATATTGACATAACGTTCGCCATAATGACGTGACTATGAATAATGCAGACGGTATGATGGAGAAGAATAGCTGCTCAAATTGTAGGTTGAAGTCGAAGCTATTTCGATTTAGCTGGAGTAAGCTTTCTTTTCCGGTGGTGAAAGGCATTTTGCGCAAAAAGAAAGTCCCTGCCCAGAGTGGTCTTTGCTAGGGGCTATAGGCACACAGTGTGTCAGTTCTGCGCTGTCAGGGTGCTAGCAACGAGTTCAGCTGAAAGAGTTGATTATGAGGCTTAGCCCTAAAGCTACGGGTGATGCCCAGATCAAGGCCTTCCTCCTTGGAATATGGTCCATGTTATATGTTTAGAGTTTAGACAGCAAGATAACGATTTGCGGCTCTGTGACCGAGGGCGCCCGAGTCAAGGCACCAACGTTGAACTCTTCCACACCTTAGTCAAAATCCTTCCGGGATAAGCTACCAGGCAGCTAGCTTCTTGTAACTTCCTGGTTGAACACTAGCATGTTAATGCCGCTTTGTCTGGCGTATTCACCGACAGGACGCCATATTGTGGCATGTTGGCGGGATCTTCCGCCATGCCTTTAGGCAGACATACTACTACTATGATAAGGTCGAATCCTTAGGGTTGATAAGCAATCTAGGCCATGGCCTATTAATTTACGTGGGTGGGGTCATAGATGCATTGTGCCAATACCACCAAAGAGCCCTTATCAGGCATCTTCCACTTCCATTGTCCTCATCTTGTCAACCACTAAAATTGGCCAAGTGCATACAGACGGCTAACAGCACTGTGATTGGCCTCCACATATCAACTGCGCCCGATTAGCTAAGACGGCACTGTGACTTTTTTGCTCAATATCTTGCAGTTGCCATAAGCCAAGGAATAAAGTCAGGAACATCTGGTCGGATATAGCATCTTCCTACTGCAGTAGCTACAGGATACATTTCTTTTCGTCTGCTTGGTGTCAGTACTGGCGTCAGCTGTTTATTGCCTAGATATAATGCTCTACTGAATAATATGGCCATCCAGTCAGCCCTAACAATGCAGTGACCCTTTGGTGGAAAGGGTGATTACTATACGAAAACGTAAATACCCTCATAGAATATGCAACAATTAGAGGAAGAGACTCACATCGAAAAACATAAAAACATGCAGTTGACCATGGACAGTTGGCCTCATCAACCTTGTTAACCTGATTCTTTCAACAACCACGGTCATATTTTGAGCTACGGATTCAGCTTGTACCTCTTTGAAGCCACAAGAAAAACAGCAACAGGAAAAGCAACCACCATGGTTAACGGGCAAGACGCCTGGAGATACTTCTCCAACCCACCGGAAGACCAACGGCAGTATGTCGACAGGGCTCTCCACAGAGCTATGCAGGGAATTCAAAACAATGATGTGTACTTGAAAGGTTCTAACTTCTATGGTGCATTACAACAAATGATCCGAAAAAAACACGAATAACCTCCCTGAATTTGTACAGAAGCAACTTGTATACAATAAAGAACTCACTCTCGACTATCTCATGTATCTAACCCTCTCAGGGTGGGTCGATGACGCCGTCACAGAATCCGTGCTATACAATTCGCCCAACTTTCATGCTTGGAAAGACTATCATGGATGGAGAGATCGTAATGACCCCACGACCGACTATCGCACGCCTTATGATGAGAGTGAAATCCTTTATGAAGCGTCTATCACTGTTTATCGGACAACTCCCTTATATGACAGCAGCGTTACAATGAGTATCTGATTACATGAAAAACGATGCCAAGCAGGTCTATCTTACCGGGATGCGTGTTGTACGGATTTGCGACTTACACCGCCGAACCCTCCGACGCGAGGCAGTTGACATAGGGCTCTGGTGACTAGATTGAAGCCACTTGAGGACCCTCGTGGGGATAGAACTGCAGGCTCTGGATACGACAAAGACACGGCATGCTCCATTTCCGTGGAAATTGTGATTAGCATTGAAGATATAAAATCAACGTGAATCATCTATAGAGAGCCATTTAAGGTCTACATTTGGTATATAGATGATGTAGGCTTGTTGTAGTTCTCAATTCTGCGCCATATATGACAGCCTTACCATGAAGGGGCAACCTTTCTCGTATCAGCGACCCTATGATTTTACGCCAGAGTAAGCTGACTATCTTGTAATTGGGCGAAATGGGTGGATTCAGTTGATTTGTCAGATACAAGGCTTGCCGGCCCACTTAGTGACTACCCACAGGAAATTCTACTACAGGCATGTCAACTCGTTACTACTGGGGAATTATGGCGGCGGTCAGCCCAGCAGCCGCACAAATGTTGCAATGGATCAAGGGAGTGGGGGTTGCTATCGTTTGAGGCACATTGGCGAAGAAGAAGGCGTTTGAGTGGAGGCGACATGGGTTGTGGTACATTCTACCAGGTGCAGCCGTCAGCCGAGCACTAAGGTAGCCTTCATTGGCTTATGCCATAGCGCGTGCGGCATCGTCTCCGCAGCTGGTGTGTTCGAAAGGCCAATGAACTGGGATTGGCACCCGAGTCAAAGATTGGTATCACCTGACTAGTTAGTTGAAGAATCCCGCTTTTTCTTCTCACCCAGCTCCATTTGACCGCTTCACTATTTACCTAAAGGATGGGATTTGGCCTATATATTACCTTTGATAGGATAGAGTATCAATATACTCTCTTTAAGAGGATTTGCGCTTTCAAAGACGCACTCTATACACACTGCAAGAACACATCCCAACATGAGTAGTGCGAGAGATGCTGTCAAGTCTATTAGAACAGCATCTAAAGATGCGCATATCAAAGCTTCTGACAGACACAATAACAGTGTCACGGATCTTCCCGTGTAACAGTCATTTCATGTGACATAAAAGGCATGAGCAACTCCATGGGAATTGCTCTCCTCCTTCCTTAGCTTTAGCAATTTCAATGATTCATATCGAGTCTATAGAGTCGTGGTCCTCACACTTTGCTTACGATGTTCGCCGTCACGAGATTTCGAGACCCTTGACAACCTTAAGACTCATTGGACGGGATCTTATCACCCTTGCTTAGACTGCAACTTTTATTATGAGTCCGCTGAGAAACATCGAGAGCATGACATCGACAAGCATCACTTGTGTGTCAATCGGCAAGAGTTCTAAAATTTTCTGCGTAACTCAGTCAATTTTAGATGATGGAGACCTCGAAAATCTTTGCACTATCAAAATCAGCGTTCCTCCCTCTATCAAAAACCCCAATCCTCTTGAATATGGGACTGCTCCTCTCATCATCTTCTTGAATGAGGAGCAGTCCTTGCACTCCATCGCTTATCTCATCGTCGAAAGTAACAGCCACACATAAGACGAGATAGTACTCGTGGTATGCTGTCTCATCACAAATACCACACATATTGCGGGAATCTGCACCATGCGTAGCCTCAGGCTCCTCATTCAAATTCACATCGGGGTATCTCAACTTAAAGTCGTCCACATGTGTTTGAAAAGCCTCTGCGAGATTGGCTTTTCCATTTTCGAGGGTCGTCACCTTGGAGCTTTCACAGGAATACTTAGAAAGCATAAAAATATTGGACGTGGAAGGTTTGAACCAGGCCTTTCGAGCAGGGGCTCTAAGCCTCAGCTGTGCCGACAATATCTCTCCAAATGGGTTCAGTCTTGGAGATGCTGGCGTTGTTGAGCAATCCAGGATATCGCAGATAACTCTATGCATCGTATCCTCTTCGCCGTAAGAAAAGTCAAAATGTACGATGCCCCCTTTGAGGCTCGCCCATGACCAAGAAGGAGCCTGATACCTCGCTGGCCTTTGAATTGAAATGGTTTCATCCTCAGCTAATGACCTGTGCCAAGTTGAGGCTCTCCATGTTAACTGCCTCGTAAGATTGTATTGCCACAGCCCAGCAAAGTAGCTAGGCCCAAGTGCTTGGCAAAACGAAGGATGAGAAGCGAGGCCGGCTAGAGCGTTTAGTCTGTCACGCTCAAGGCTGGTAACTCTGATTGAATACGCAGTGACAAGACGCAACCAACAACTTAAAGCCTTGTCTTTATTAGAAAAAGCCTCTTCTTGGCTAAGAAGCAACGTGTGAAGATTAAAACTGTACTTTTCATCATGGTCATTATAGCCTGTGTCAAGATCATGCGGAAAATACAAGGAGTCACCAAAGGTTTTTATGCCTGCCCGACATCTCCACATAATAGTGCGTGTTGTGAAACTCAGGATACAATTGCTCAAAAGTTGTTCCTGCATGGTCCAACCGCGTTTTGAGATTGGTTCAAGACGCTCATCGTAGCAAACGGCATCTAGTTCATTAACAAATATAGTGCCAAAGACGCCAGGTTGAAGCCGCACAGGGATAGTGTAATAAGTTTCTTGGTGTACACGAGGATATAGAAACCCTGCAGAGACACTTTCTGCAGATGCTGCAACTATCGTCACAGCTGAAGAGGCATAAATCCCTTTCATCTGTGCGATTTCTTTCGTTTTGTCTTCTTCAGAATCCTGAATTATGCAGAGAGCGTCGATCCACAAATACGGTATGGACAAATTGCGGGTAGTTGCAAGAGCATCACGAATAGTAGGGGGAAGAGTTTCTTCATCCAATCCTTCGGTGAATTTTATATAATTGGAATGAGATAATTTCGGAAAGTCTTCTTTTCCCCAGCAATAGGAGAGGGTAGCATAAAGACCACGCAGGTCTTTGGATTCTAAGACCCGCGCATGTTGTCTTCCTGGAGGACAAACCTCAATGACTCTCGTAGGAAGGAGAGAGTCACGATGTAAAGTTCTGCAGCACTTATGCTCCTTGCAGTTTTTCAGCCATTCTTTAACTTGAACTCTTGCAGCATAACTATCAGTGTCTGTCCTCAGCCGCCTCGCAGTGACATAATCTGAAGCGGGATCCTGTGCTGTAGTAAAGGCGTGAAGGAAAAGGGCGGCACCTCCTCTCCATTTTTCCATTGTTGCATCGCATGAAATACTTAGGTAGAATATATTTCTGCCAGTAGGCGTGCAAGAGGGGATTGTGCTCGGTGAAAGAGATATGGTGATCCGATCTTCTGGCGCCCAATGGTCGGAAATAAAACTTCTGATATAAGCACACCAGTTGCAAGCAGCGTCTTTTATTTCATGGACAGTGGTCGTGGTCTCGGCCCTTATTTGGTTGTAGTGCGCATCATTTTGATGCAAAGTAAAGCACTGTTCAAAAGCCTTGGTGTTGAAAAAAGTCTCCCAGCATCTATCGCATACGTAGCTTGCTGGACGAGGGAAGGAGGAGTTGTCGGCAACGAACCCACTAGGATAAGATTCAAGGATTTCCATGTCAAGACACAAGCAGTGCTCATCAAAAAGATATGTGAGCAGTCCATCTGGAAGGACAAATATTCATGCGTATAGTTAGTTATACAGTATTTTTAAGGATTAGTCAGTTGCTGCCCAATGGAACTAGTAAGTTAGCAACCGGAAATTGAGTGGAGCAAGCCGCATGGGACAGGCGGTGGCGCACGGCAGAAGAGCGGTGCAATGGGAGCCGTTTCGGGCGCCCCACTTGCCGTCCGTCAGAATACTATCTAAACAACTACTTAAACAACCCTCCAAATAATCCTCTAAATGAACCCTAAAACAGCCTTACTAATAATTTGGTGTATGCCTGAAACACAAGAAAAATTTATAAAGTGACATTAATAGTTAAAAGTATTAAAATCTTCAATCCCTGTGCTTAGTTCTATGGAAGATTTTATATAAAATAAATCTCAAAGTATTTTTATTTACGATCTTGATTACTTTGTATTTCCGTGTCTGATTGAATATTCTAGATATCTTGAAATCCTGAGATAGGACCCATATATATATTTATAATAGCTTTGGATCTGCCTGTTTAGGAGAGTAGTATTAAGCTTTTATTATAGCCACGCAGCTGTCAGCTGATCCCTCCTTTCTGTGTGGTCTCCGACCCCTATCTCTTTTAACTACTAACCATCTTCTTGAGATCTAGATAGATTAAAACCATATATCTTTGACCCTTCGTCTTGACATACGATGTACTGTGATACTCTATGCGAGAATATGGGCTACGAACCTGACAAGGATACCCTTTTCTAGATTCCTCGTGTTAAAGGGAGTTATTTGGACTGAGGGCCTGAACCAAAGACACATACTGATGTTGTAGGCGAGCTTTCTGCCGGTGAGCCCTTGACAATTACTGATCACGCTTCTTGGATCGCAGTGATGAAGCAGATGCAGCGTGCTTTAGGACCCTGGTTGTCGCCTTCCGACCGCTAAATACCGCGCCACGAGTGAAACCTACACCAGACGCGCTTAGGCAGTTTGGGGGGATAAAAGCGGGTTGATCTGACACATTTATAAAGGTGATACTGCAGATAGAATGGATTGACAGAATGACGAAGTAGAGTATTCCTACATTCTCATGTTCCGCCCTAAATACTGCCAGGGTACAGGCACGTGAATGTAACGACCTTGCAGGACAATCATCATTCGATGCAAAATATCCTCCGTCCAGTCGTCTTTGTACGAGATGCCCGATTATACAAAATTAGGCTGTATTCTAGTCACTGAACAACATGATCACAGCAGCGGTCTTTGAGTTAGACTAATTGGCCAACCAGGTTCGCTACAATTCCCACTGACTTGTATTCATGTCGATCAAACCCCGGGAAATCAACGGAAAGGCCGGCATGACGCTGGATGCTTCCTGGTTCCTGTATCCGCGATAGCCGAGCTACTAAAATTGGGGGGAGATAAGCATGAAGACCGAACCGCTGGGGGTGGGGTTCATTTGGAAACGGAGAATTAGCAGTGGCGCATTTAGCCGACGGGGTCCGAGACCATCATCCTCCTACTTTGTTCGTTGGAGTCGTCCGTCTCACTCCGATCACTCCGGCCACTTTACAATGACAATGGCTCACTAGGCCCCTCCTAACATGCTATCTTCGGCAAATGTGTCTATCAAACTATGGGGCCAAATTCCCCTTGAGGCAAAGCACACTTTACCCCGCTTGCACCCGGTCAATTCCTCGGTGAATGCTCGGAAGGGCCAGCAGTCTTCCATAAGAGACGTCTGAAGGTTACCCAGAACACTTTTATCCGCAGACAATCAATTAATCTCGATTGAATCGAACTGCTATTCAACATGCAGCTTCGGCACGCAGGTGAGTATACGCACCCAGTCTCACAGTGCGCGCAATTCCATTCAACGAAGCTAATGATTGACGTCACAGCCTCCGAAACGGCCTTGAAGGACATACTCGAGGAAGCCCGTCCTGACTTGACGCCATTCGAGGACATCTATCGTGATATTCACTGCAATCCCGAATTGTCCTTCTGTGAAGAACGAACTTCTGCCATTGCGGCCCAGCATCTGAAAGAACTCGGCTACGAGGTACATACACACATTGGCGGCTATGGCGTCGCGGGCGTCTTGAAAAATGGTGCTGGCCCCACAATTCTACTTCGAGCAGACATGGATGCACTCCCGGTACAGGAGAAGACAGGACTTCCTTACGCCAGCACGAAAGTCGCCAAAAACAAAGACGGAGTCGAGGTACCAGTAATGCACGCCTGCGGTCATGATACTCACGTCGTCAGCCTGATGGCCAGTGCTTCTCTTCTACAATCCGCCAGAACGCATTGGACGGGGACTCTAATTTGCCTCTTTCAACCGGCAGAGGAGCTTCTATCAGGATCCAGGGCCATGATAGATGACGGTCTCTATGACAAAATACCCGCTCCGGATGTGGTATTGGCAGCGCATGTGATGCCACTCAAAGCCGGCACAGTGAGCGTCCGCTCTGGTCGGCTGCTGACGGCTGCAGATTCATTTAATGTACGCATCTTTGGAAAGGGCGGTCATGGTTCGGCGCCCGAGGCCTGCATTGACCCGGTTGTCACCGGAGCGGCCATCATCTTGAAGCTGCAGACCATAGTAGGGCGCGAGGTGCCTCCGGGACAACTGGCGGTGGTTACCTGTGGCTACATCCAAGCTGGCATAGCGGCGAATGTCATCCCGGATACCTTGGACTTCAAGCTTGATGTGAGGACATGCGATGACTCGATTCGCGAACGTGTAATACGTGCGATCAAGCGCATCATCCGCGCCGAATGCGAGGCGGCCGGCTGCGAGAAGGAACCGCAAATCGACCATGTCATGTCGACCCCGGCCACTATCAACGACCACGCTACCGTGCGAGCTTTATGCAATACATTCGGCTCTTACTTTGGAAAGCGACTCATCGAGTCTGACCCGGCAGGTGCTAGCGAGGATTTCTCCTTACTCGCCAGGGCCGTGAACGCGCCGTACGTGATGTGGACTTATGGCGGTATCGATCCAGAGACATGGGATAATGCAGTCAAGAATGACACGGTGAAAGATCTCCCGAGTAATCACTCGCCATTCTTCGCCCCAGTGATCCAGCCCACCCTCCAAACCGCCGTAGATGCCATGTCTCTCGGCGCGCTGACATTCTTGAAGCGAAATTGAATCTGTCACATAGCACCCACCCTTCCTAAGTAAAATCAAACACGACGCCATGAAATAAATGCCAAACAACCCACCCCATCCATCCCCACACTATCCCCACCTCCCTCACGCCCTCTCCACCACACGAACCACAACCTTCCCCCTTGCTCTCCCCCCGCGCAGCTTTTCAAACGCCTTCGGCGCATCCTCAAACCCAAACACACTATCCAACACCACCTTCACCTTCCCCTCGCCAATCAACTCCCCCACCTTGGTCAAATCCTTCTTATTACTCTTCCAAAAAATCGGCACATACTTCATCCTCCCCCCACCCAAGAACCCGGGCCGAATAAACCTCACCGCAAATGTAGGCATCCAATTGGCCCCAACCTGGGTAAACACACCCCCAGAGACCATGAACTTGTCACTCTCGCGATACAACTCCCACGGCTCCCCCACATGATCCACCACCAACCTGAATACCCTCCCCTTCGCCTTCACCACCTCCACCACATTCTCCACCGTATAATCAATCACCTCATCCGCCCCCAGCCCCTTCACAAACTCCACATTCTTCCCCGAACACACCGCCGTCACCTCACACCCCAGCGCCTTCGCGATCTGCACCCCGTAGATACCACACCCGCCCGACGCTCCCACAATCAATACTTTATCCCCGGCTCCAGCCGTCACATACGGCGCGATGGCCTGCCACGCCGTCTGCCCCGCTACTCCCACCGTCGCGGCATGATCGACCTCCACCCCCTCGGGGACTATCTGTATGTGCTCGGCATCAGCGAGAACGTATTCCGCCAGCGGACCGAATTGCGTCGGGAGGGGGAGCGTGCCGTAGACGAGTTTGCCCGGGGTGAGGGTGGAGGGGACGCTCGGGCCCGTAGAGACGATCTCGCCGGCGAAGTCGAGGCAGGGGCTGGCGGGTTTGCGGATCAGAAGGGTTGATATCACGGGCATGGCGGGGACTTTGTAGTCGGCGGGGTTTAGGGCGCAGGTGTGGACGCGGATGAGGAGTTGGGTGTTTTTGGGCGCTGGGGGGGTAGGGGCGCTAGGTGTGAGGGTGAGGTTCTGTTCCAGGGTTGGGTGCGTGGTGCTGTAGAGCCAGGCTTGCATTGTTTCGGGGTGGGTGGATGGGGATGTCATTTTGAGTGGTTGTTGTTGATGATGATGATGGTGGTGGTTGTTTGTTGTTGCTGTGGAGCGGTAATGGAGATGGAGATGGAGATGAAGCTGAAGCTGTCATGTTGCGTTGCATCGGCCGGATCGGGATTAGTGCGGTTGGATGGATGACTGGTTGCGAGCGATAAGATAAGACGTCATTGACCGCGACAGCTTCATCTGTTTATCCATTGCAGTACTCGATGGGTTGGTGTATCGTAGGTGTTAAGTGATACCAACCAAACTTGTGCTATCTTGTATGATCATTAGAAGGGCCAAAATTATCCTGGGCTGACAGGTTACTGTACAAACACAACGAGTAACCGATATCCCTCCTGACCGTGTCACCGTAAGCCCACAATTCTGGCACCACCATCTCAGCGTGCTCGAGACACAAAAGACTTCACTGTCTTCTTTCTCTAGTCTCTACAGCCAAAAATGTACTCTTCACAAAACACAACACATAATACACAGGCAATCCCCTCCATTTCCATACCAAAATCCCAAACCCCAGCCAAGCCAACCCATACCACCCCCATCTCACCGCGCGTCCACACCTCACCCCCAGCAAATACGAACACAGCCCAACGACGCAGGTACCCAAACCCAGAAGCAATCATAATATTCAGGGGCCAGTGGGCCCCCACATACACGGCTGATAAACCGCTACCCGTCAATCATGGTCATTTGGCCCCAGTTTTCGGATCCTTCAGAAACGTCTAGAC